TCTTGATGTTTACTGACATAGTTACTGATGTTCTTGATGTTTACTGACATAGTTACTTATGTTCTTGATGTTTACTGACATAGTTACTTATGTTCTTGATGTTTACTGACATAGTTACTTATGTTCTTGATGTTTACTGACATAGTTACTTATGTTCTTGATGTTTACTGATATTGAATTCTGACACTCAATATTTTACTGAAGAATGTTTATTCCATGTGGGTGTTTATTGATAGGACTGTTTTACAGATAAAGCTGTCTTTCTGAAAAGGCTTGTTTGATAGTTTCATCGATATGGATGTTTACTGAGAAATGTTTGAACGAAATGTATGTTTGATAGATTTTTTATCTATATGGCTGTTTTACTGATAAGTGTTTTATCAATATGGCTGTTTTACTGACAGATGTTTTATCAATATGGCTGTACTACTGTCAAAGTTGTCTTTCTGACAAGGCTGCTTCACACATTCAGTGAAAGACATCTTTGATATCTATGTGGATGTCTACTGACAGATGATGTTATGGATACACATTGTACAAATACATGACTGATTGATGAAGTTCTGATGTGGCTGTTTAGTAATATAGGGATTAATATTTTACTGATATCACTGATTTATTGATAAAGATGTTTCACTAATTTTACATAAATAGGACTGTTAAACTGATGTGATGGTTTTACTGATAAGATGGTCTAATGATAGGACTGTTTTACTGATAAGATGGTTTAATGATAGGACTGTTTTACTAATAAGATGGTTTAATGATAGGACTGTTTTACTGATAAGATGGTTCAATCACATAACTGTTTTACTAATAAAAATGACTTACAAATAAAAATGTCTTACTGATAAAAATGTCTTACTCATATGCCTGAGAACCACAACTATTTTATTTTCTCCGCCTAAATACAACTCTTGTCACAGTATTAACAATACATCAGATCTTGTCGACGCGAACATGAACACACAGTCACTGTCCACAACATTCAGGAATAAACCCCATCAACAGGACAATCTTCTTCACAACACACGAGGTTGTATAAATATGTCAATATATATAATAGATGCATAATAAACATAATGATATGCACAAAGCACTTGGCAGGCTCAAACCATATTAATAACACATAGCAAAATATTTCCTCTGATTAAAGGCACACAATTAAACAGTATATAAATAGAGAATATGACCCTCTTGTCTTCTGATATGAAATATGTACACACAAGTCAACAATAATAGTTTTAAAAATATGAACTCCGAGGAGTTTTAAACTTTTGACAATGGTTGATATATTTGATATCAAAAGACACTTGGATGAGATTCTATTTATCATCCAAAATCGTTTATACAATTTTTTCAGTTTGTAAACAGTGATAATCAGTCTTAAGTGTAAAAACCTGCTTCAGAGGCAGAGAAATTAGTGATGTCATTTGATTGTGACGTCATTGTAACGTGAATGATGTCACAATGGTCTGCAAAGCACTGACATAATTTCACTGTCGCAATAACAACTAGGAGATATCATTTGATTTCACCAAGACAATATCTGCGGAAGCCAGTTTTGGATGATAAAGTATCAAATTTAATTAAATCTTTCTGTAAATATCACACAGATAAGCATGTAATAACTAGAATGTCTAACACAACAATAAAGCAATCATCTAATCAGCATGAACAGCCTAAAATGTGTAATGTTTTAATGATACAATTACAGCTATCAAATAATTATACAAGGGCAATGGTGCTTTTCATTAACTTAAGTTTGAGTTTAATCACAGACAAAATTTAGTATCAATTTTATACAAACAGTGAAACTGTTAACCCGGATATCACCATTTACTCCTGGAATGACAAATGTCTGATATACAGAGTTATGTCCCTTTAGTTGCCAGTGATACTGAATTTTCCGCACCCTTCAGTGATCATGTGACAAGGGGCATGCCATAGGACAAAAGAGCTACTGTCACACTCAGAGTCACATATATGCACCCAGTTCTGTATATCATGGCGACATCTGGATAAGTTACAAAGTCTACATTGTGGACAGAAGAGTCAAACAGTGGGTAGACAGGCTGTGATGTCATATAGCGTGTCCAGTATCACATGATTACCAACAGTCATAATCGCGGGACATCTCGTGAACCGGAACTTGAGCTATGATCCCGGATGTTTAGGTTTCCAGAACAAAGCCGTGCACACTAACAGTCCCACTGTATTAAACAAATATCCTTATAAACTAAGGCCATAATAACTCCATTATTAGATTTTTATCCCCGAGCCTCGAGCAAATACATACCTCATTTTACATTTCTCGAGTACCTGCAGACCGAGGAATCTGCGTGGTTACTTAATGACGTACACCATATTCCTATACCTTCCAAGCTTTCATGCTTCAGGTGAAGTACTTCCACTAACAGTTAATGTCCACGGTTATTTCGGAAAGTTGGTTAAAGTATACAAAATACAATGCTTCCGGACTTTCTTTTACACATTTGTATCAAAATCTAATAATCAATTTATTGTGGCCTTACATATAATTTTAAAATGAAAACTTGTTGAGAAAATCACCATCATTTTACTTGTGTTCGTGTTGCTGTGTAATGGCTAACCAGGTCTGTATACACACTTCACAGCTAGATGGTGTGTTCACTCGAATGCCAATTCTTCCTTGCATTATGAATATCACAGTTAAAGAAATGGAATATTAGTGGGGATTATATGAAACACAGACGGCAACACACAACAGAAATTTTATGTAACACTTTCAATGACACCCTTCTTGGAATATTCTTTAGGCCAGACCACTTATTTTCCTCGCATGCTTACAAGCATAGTTTATATTTCCAAGTAAAAGACACACAGACATATTTTTTAACACAATTTTGATTGGATTTTTGATATTATTTATATTGTCAGAAATGGTTAAAGGAAATTAGTCTCAGATGAACCCTGACAACATCTATGTCTTATTGGTTGTAATGGCAATTTGTGAACCAAGAAAATATATTGGTCTAGCCAAAACTCAGAAGGTCAAGAAAATATTGTTAAATATACCACAAAATTAAATGCAGCACAGAATAATATACGTCCTATTTTCACATGTAACTTAACAAGTAGGTATTTTGTGTGCTGACAAAAAGTACACTTCATAAAACTGCTGAAATTAGAACACAACCATTGAAAAATTCATGAATTTTAAGAAGTGTTATTTCTTAGTGGTATGTCACAACAGGATCAATACAAAGGTGAAGGTCAAGATCAATGTCAAGAGACCTTAAAATAAGTGAGTTTTTAGTGGTATCAATATTTGACTGATATGTAAAGGTCAAGGTCACTGGCAGCGGATGCTCTATGTACAAAGACATAAAACTGTATTTACAGAAATGGGTAACTACCGAAGCAAAATATTTACAGCTTGAAAAGGAAAGCACAAATGAGCCATTGTTATACATGTGTTTTCTGGGATTGTGACAAAGATATCTGGATTCAAATTGCTTTTTTTTGGAGATCAGACTTGAACACAAAAAAGCAAAGAGTGAGTGAGTGAGTTTGTTTTTTTATCCTGCATTTAGCTATAATCCAACCTTTCATGGTGGGGACACCAGAAATGAACTTCACATAGTGTATCCCAGAGCGGAATTGAACCCGGGCCTTCAGCCTGACGAGTGAATGCTTTAACCGCTAGGCTTCCAAACCGCCCCTATGTGTAGGCAGTAAGAGCTAGGCTTGTTTGTCAGTAGACAGTATGAATTTGGACCTATAGCCAGTTGGTAGTAACAATTTTGCTCCATCAATGAAATCGGGGACTGTTTTTGAAAAATAACATTTTTTTTTCATACAGCTAGATCCTTGACCACTCAATGCTTTTGATACAAATGCAGTTTAATAGCCTAATGGTGCCAAGAACAAGTCATTTCAGGTTGTTTGTCCGTGTTTGACGCTCACATCAAGCAGTACATTCTTACTTTATAAGAAACAGTGTTTCAGTGTTGTTTCATTAAACCATACAAGGATTCTATGAAAGTAGACAGTAAAAGCAAGAATCACAACCCAGCCGATCTGTGACTCAAACCCATGCTCACAGGATCCTGTCAGCCAAGTAGGACACCGCCACATTCACAGCATTCTTGCATGCATCGTCCAGTGGATTCTGTGGCGCCACAGACTAGGCCAACTTCATTTATGTGTATTTCATGGTAACAGTGTTCGAAGTGCCTGCCCATAGGCAGGTACATTTCGTGTCAACCCTGTAGTTTCAAATTTGTATGTGTCCCTAGGTGTTGATTTATTGGTCACAATAAGCTGCAGTTTTTTTAAATGAGAGCCTGAATAGTTTAGTCAGGGCTGGCAGCTTCTAGTACGTGAGTGAGTAAGGTTTTATGCCGCTTTTAGCAATACTTCATCAATATCACGGCGGGGGACACCAGAAATGGGCTTCACACATTGTACCCATGTCGGATATCAAACCCGGGTCTTTGGCATGACAAGCGAACGCTTTAACCACTAGGCTACCCGACCGGCCCCTGCAGCTTCTAAAGTCTGTGGGTCCTGATGGCTGCCTGGCAATTTTATTATTTCAAACACTGTATGGTAATATTTCAGATATATCATAACAATGGTCTGCTCGTCCCTGTGAGAATCAAACACTGACTATTTGCATACCAAGCCGACACTTTAACCACTGGACAACTAGACCTGCATGTGTCGATGCAGTAGACATAAAAGAGAACCCAAAAAGTCACAATTCCAGAAACCAGTCACTGAGGTAATGAGGGTGTTGTGAAACATTGTCTAGGATTAGGCTCAATATTATGAAAGTGCAGCATTCAAATACCGTATTTGACACCTCAAAAAATGGCCATGGGTGGGGGTTCATCCAAGAAAACCTTTTCTGAATACATCATGTGTGATACAAAAACAAGTACCGGAGTACAGTGAGTGAATTTGGTTTCACATCTCCTTGCACAGTATTCCAGTTATATCACGACGGGTCCTCGCCTGAAGGGATATAGGTCTTGGATGTTTACCCCATGGGTGAGTGTCATAAACACGTGTATGTGCTGACAAACTGAGAAACATAATCAGGATAAACAGTATTCCAGTTATATCACGACGGGTCCTCGCCTGAAGGGATATAGGCCTTGGATGTTTACCCCATGGGTGAGTGTCATAAACACGTGTATGTGCTGACAAACTGAGAAACATAATCAGGATAAACAGTATTCCAGTTATATCACGACGGGTCCTCGCCTGAAGGGATATAGGCCTTGGATGTTTACCCCATGGCTGAGTGTCATAAACACGTGTATGTACTGACACACTGAGAAACATAATCAGGATAAACAGGATTCCAACTCACAATCCAAGGTTTCTGGCATGCAACACTGCACAATGAATTGCTGTGCTTTAGACAACTGGGCCACCTCTCCCCCCACACCAGCAGGGGGTACTGCCGTGAATATAGACTATGACAAAATACGTTCAAACAGCCGATTTCTGAGGTTTCAGGAAGCGTGTTTTTTATTTTTGACCATGAGTAAGTCCAAAAATCTTTTCCTTGGGTAACGGACTTGATTATAAGATTTACTCTTAAAGTTTGAAAAATCAGCTTTCTCTCTCAATATTTATGTAATTGCTCATGAAAATCAGTTATTTGTCAGACAATATTTCAAAAATCGGATGTTTCCAGTGGGCCATACCTTGGCCTTGGGGTTTATATGGACACAGGCATTTGCCTTGTCAAATACGGTAGTTGAAATAGCTATACAAAATTAACCCAAGTCATGAAACTACTCGGACAATACCTTCACATCCTGTCAAGCATCATTTCATTTCCATAAACTTCCATTCACATCAAAGCAAGAAAATGTACATTCGCTGTATAGTGGAGATGGCAATCATACCATATGTTATGCTATTATATAACAAGCAATAGATTATTTGCCATAACAACATTTCAAATACGCAAGTACTCTTTCTGTCATCTTATAACATTTCAACTATCAAACACCTTATCCACACTGAAACGTGTGAAATTCAGACTAAATATGGTTAAATGTAATTAATTTGTTAACCGATATGTGACAGCGTTTCCCCAAAATCAAGATTGCAAAATTAGTCAGGTTTACGCTGACAAATACAGGAACTGAGTATAAGTATTTTTCATCACATAAACTATCTATTGCTGGTGACAAGGACATTATTTTTTATCTAAAACTGGTACTAATAAGAATTAAAAATTGTTATTTACAAAATATGCACCATTATAGTAAGAAAAACCTTGCAAAAAAACATCTATGACTAAAATAAATGGAAAAACATCTACAACCAGTTGATACTACATAAGGCAAATGTTTAAGAAATGAAAACCATCAACATATCAAGTCTCAGAATAAATCATTAGATTTTCCCCTCCACCTGGAAAACATTATCTTCCCGAGGCAAGGCCGTTAACTGACTACAAAACTCCAGTTTCCACCCTCGCCTAACTAGGCAAGAATGTCTGGGCTCTACGGAGCGCCACCAGTGGCTGCACGACAGTTTACGAACCGGATTTCGATTTCGTTGTGTGATTGTGATTGGACTATGCATAGACTCGTTAGTCCAGCCAAAATGTAACTCCATAATACCAGCCTAGTTCGGCAAGGGTGGAAACTGGACTTTTATTGTCAGTTAATTCTCTTGCCTCGGGAAGATGAGAAAACATCTGCCTAACATCGTCCTACTGTACCCTAGTACCTGTTACCTCTGTGAGGATCCAGAATAGAATTGGTCTTCAGCAACCCATGCTGTCACACAAGACGACTTACGGGATCGGATGGTCAGGCTCGCTGACTTAGTTGAAGCATGTCATAATATCCCAATCACATGGATCGATGCTCATGATGTCAATGACTGGATTGTCTGCTCCAGACTCTATTATTTACAGACCGCCGTCATATAGCTGGAATATTGCTGAGTGTGGCATATAACAACAAACAATACCTACGAACAAAGAAAATCATTGTGTGGCCTTCTTTCTTTAACAAGTGAAATACACCAAATACTTAGTCCAAACTCTGCTTCAAGCACAACCATTGACAGGGGAAAATAAAATATAAAGAAAATACATGCCTCCTGTCACATTTCTTTGTTTAAAAATGAAAATCTAATAATTAATTTTGTGGCATTAAGAAATATTATTTTAATCAGATAAAGTCAAGAAAATGAAATATTTCTATTCCCAGACCTCTGCATCAAGAGGTCATTGATATCATAAGAGGCATGATAACAGGTATGACAAACTACTTCATGCTTTGATGACCTACAACCACCTCAAACATAATCCAAAGCAAACTGATTTAAAGCAAAATACTTGTAACATTATAATATATTCCAGGATGAACATTCAACCCACACAGCTTTCAGAACAGCAAAATAGTTAATTCAAAAGTAGAAAAAAACTTTTTCATGTCCTATAATTTGAACCAGTATCAATCAACTTTATACCAGTACATTACTGTTCATTAGGGCACAGTAGTTACTTGTTTGAAACACCCTCCTGGTAACTGTAGATACCCGGTAGTTGGGTCTTTTTATTTTAATAGTTCTATTGACATTTGGACTGTTAGTCTGCTGCAGCAACACTTCACCATATCAAATTTTCCCGAATAGTATCTACCTAAAATAAGTAAGTTAGTGAGTTAGTATGGTTTTATGCTGCATTTAACAATATTCCAGCAATATAACGGCGGGGGACTCTAAAAAAAAGGGCTTCACACACTAGACCCATGAGGGAAATTGAACCCAGGACTTTAGGGTGATGAGTGAATGCTTTAACCAATAGGCTACCCCACCGCCCCCTGAAAAAATGAATCCCTGAAAGGTAGGTGTGTACTATTCACAAGAAAATAAGGTAATAGGCACATTGCAGTAATCAATTTCATCACAGAGTTTTCACATCATAAAAAAGAGATTTTCATTCTTATTTCTTTTTCTTCCTGAAGTCAGGTAATTTTAGGAAAAAAAATGCAAAACAAGTAACTAGGTAATCTGATTTGTCTGAAAAATGTCATAAAAAAGAAATGGGCATCTCAATATTCCTCTCCTAGTTTTCAGTATTCTTTCACCTACTCAGAATAACACTACCCCTACCTCCCCATAAGGCCACAGCAAAGTCTTAAACAAATTTTAAAAAATTAAGTCATTTTTGTTTTATTTATAAGTATTGCCATATTTCAGAAAAAATCTTCAAAAGTATATTCCTAAACAAGACTCTCATTCAAACTGTTTGAAAACCTAAGCCATAATAAGTGTTAAACATAGTTTTGGAATAAAAAAATGTTTAACAGATCAACCATGAGAAATTTCATTTCTAAATAAATTTATTAATTGTAGTTAAAACTTTTTTTTAAATGAAGCAAAGTCAACAGCAACCAAAAAGTCTGATAAAAGAACATCATAAATTTGTTGTGGCCTGAGAGAGAAATTTGTATATTTTCCTGTCTCTGATAACTGCCGCCCAAATTATCGTGTCATTGCTTCTGAGTCTCAGAAAGACATTGGGATAAGAAAACAAAGAGTTACATCCCCTTCACGAAAACACATTATTGCCTCTGCACCTTCCTCGATATAAAGAAGTGATTATTTTTTTATAATTAGCTATTCTTAAGATAGGTGAAACACAAAAACAAAAGTGTTGTCCTAAATCATAACGCCACAATTTGCAACAATACAATAAAAGTTGAAATGTACACAACACGCGCCCCCTGTTCTGTGTAATATGAAAGTGAGGGATATAACAAAGAAATATAGCCCACGGACTGGAAGGAATAGGATGCAAGGACTGTTGTCAGTCAGACTCATACAGACGGCCATCTTCGAGCTTCACATACACATGACCTTGACTCAAGGTCGAGAATTTAACAAATTGTACATCGGTTGTGCAAATCAGACTCACACAGGTAGTCATACAGGAGGACAACTTCATGTACACATGACCTTGACTTCTCAAGGTCGAATGAAGGTCAAGGACTTAACCATAAGAAATTGTACATCGGCCATGCAGATATCATCAATCAGACGTGCAAATCAGACTCATACAGGTGGCCATCTTGAGTTGAACATACACATGACATTGTCACAAGGTCAATATTCATCGTCGAGAATATAACCATGAGAAATGGCATATTGGACTCGCAGGTCACTTCAACTTTTCAGAAATTTTAAGGAACAGCCAATCATAAGATGGGGTTATTCTATCAACAATTTCCAACACAGGTAATTATTTGTCAAATGATACCCAATACCGAACTTAAAAGCTTCGATAAGCTGGCTGTGTTTTCTGTGTGGGAGACAAACCATATAAAATGTATGTAATGTTTTTAATTTATGTTATGTTTTTATCAGCTATTTATCCTTTTGTTTTCACAACCCTTTTAATAAAACTTTATAGAAAAGTAATAACATGCTCAATGTTTAATTGGATAATACTAATACAAATGTTTCAATTTTCTAATAGTAAAAATCCATTAAATAGTGATGCTCAAATGTGTATTTCCTGTGTTTGTCCCAGAGGCTTACAATAGGCTTGGTGATAGACCTGGGCCTCACCATCTCTCTCCCCGTTTCGTGAACCCTCCCAACATACCCCATCCAAAGGAAGACCATTCCCTGACACTGATCGAGTCTGTCCAAGACATCAACACTGCAATTTGAACATGGAAGCCAGGTTAACCTTAAGACAAGACATGTGAAAGTTCTCAAAGCTGTGTGTCTTGAATCCAAGCTCCAAGTCAGCCAATACTCCCCCTGGTGACGAATGAAGCATGTAGGGGGAGACAACCCTGTATGGTCTGAGACCAGTCCCTGCTTGTGGAAGAGAGAGAAGCTAGCATCCACAAGCCTGCTGTTGCTGTTCATCATCTGTTGCGCTTAACCTCTGATTATCAGGCTTGGGGGAGTTGGCCGTCGAGTTACCAGCGTTGGCAAGCTCTTCCACTTGCATCTTGAAAATATCTGGAAATTGAAACTTGTGTGACTCAGCATTTTATAATAAAGCTGATAGGCGCCAATCAATTCTTATACTCTGATATGATACCTCTCTGCATCAAGTTTCGATGACCCCTCCACAAGTCACATTTGAAATCAAATGAAGGATGCGAGGGGTTTTGAGCCAATCAGTTGTCAACTTTCAATAAGAATTCAGCTTCACTTCAGCCACAGAACATTAATATGCTCTCAACAGAAAACCCTTTTAGGTCAAGATGCCATGGTGCTCAAAAAGACGGGACACATATTACAGTCATTTTTCTCAGCTGACAACATGTGTGAGCATTGTCTGATGGACGTTCATGCATGGAGTGTTGTTTGTTTGTTTGTCTATTAAAATATCAACCTTAAAATAGTGTAGTTTTGTGTTTGCATTTGGAACTCCCTGATTATGTTCGTTTTTGAGATACAGATATCATATATGCTTGTCTGAATGTTTTGACCACTCATCCGGAGAAGCAAATTTGTATAAAATACCCCCCAAAATATTCAAAACCCAATTACTTTCAATTAACATGCGTACAAAAACACATCCATGGATAACAGCCATCTTTTCACATCACGAATGTAAGTACTTTACAAATCTGTGTAAACTGTCAACAGTATATCTACTGAGATTTATCTAGGATTCCATACTAAGTTCTTTTGGCAGCCAAATTGGGAAAAAATAGAGGCATTATGCAAAACTGGATTTTTTTCATGTTCTTAATTTTGTAAATTTCTTTGGATTTGGGACATTTTTCATTCAAATTGGAACTTGGGGCCAATTATCAGCCTCTGAACAGATCTAGATAAATCTCTGATCTACCATTGTAAACATTGTAATTAGTTACCATAGTAATATGTCTTGTTACTATGGTAACATTTCTTGTAACATAGACAACTTACCAACAATAAGATTATTAAATGCCTCTCCTACATTGGTAGAATCTAGCGCAGAAGTTTCTATGAAGGAATAACCATTCCTTTCTGAAAAACAAAGCACCAACAAAATCATAAATCAGTTGTATAAAAATATTTTCTGATGGAATTGGCACTTTCTCATCTGAATAAATTATTGTCTAATTTGCGATTAGTATAATCAGAAAGATATGTAGGAAGCATTCACACGATTGTTTCCTACAGTCATGGCTGTAGCTGGTAATTTGACAGATGAGTCAAACTCCACCCTGTCAAACTGTGAGCTGACCCGTGAAGATCCAGGGTAGAATAGGTCTTCAGCAACCCATGCTTGCTGTAAAAGGCGACTATGCTTGTCGTCAGAGGCACCTGACAGGATCGTGTGGTCAAGATGACATGGTTGATGCATGTCATCATATCCCAATTGCATGGATCGATGCTCTTCATGTCAATCACTGGATTGTCTGGTCCAGACTTGATTATTTACAGACCAGTGTCACATAGCTGGAATAGTGCTGAGTGCGGTGTTAAACAACAAACACAAACACACACAAACTCTGAGCCTCCTGTCTGTAGCCTAGACTAAGGGACACAACTCTATCTGTTCCGTGCTCAATCCAGACCAAGGGACACAACTCCCACCTGACATGGCTAAGGGACACAACTCTATCTGTACCCTGCCTATCCTAAACCTAGCCTTAGTTTGTTGATTTGAACTTCTATTTCATTTCAACTATCATGTAATTGGTATAGTAAGAATGTAAAGAATAATGGTAATGCAAACCAGACAGTTCATGCTGATCAACCAAACAAAATATAAATTCATCTTGGAAATAGTAAATCAACCTTTACAAAATTCACTATGGTAGCATTCTTAAAGACATACAAAGAACATAAAAATATCACTACATTTGGGGTTAGAGGGCAAATATGAAAGATTCTTGTAATGGCCACTTCCACAAAGATGGTAACAGTGTTACTGGGAGAGTAAGGAAGGTGTCACTCGCTGGAAAGGAGATTGCCACCCAAACCAGGGAAACTAAGGGACACAACTCTGGACGCAAAAGAGTGCAAGTGAGTGGTTTTACGCCGCTTTTAGCAATATTCCAGCAATATCACGGCAGAGGACACCAGAAATGGGCTTCACACATTGTACCCATGTGGAGATCGAACCCGGGTCTTCAGGGTGACAAGCGAACACTTTAACCACAAGGTTATCCCACCACCCCTGGACACAACAGAAGATGATCTACCTGCCACTGTCCTGCCTTCCTCCATGGTGACAGCTCGCAAGTGTCGGAGGTCCGTCTTGTTGCCGACCAGCATGATGCAGGCCGTGGGGTCGGCGTGATCCTTCAACTCCTGCAGCCACTTGTCCAGATTCTGGAAGGACTGGGGCTTCGTGATGTCATACAGGACCAGCGCCCCAACGGCTCCCCGGTAGTACCTGCACCAGCATAATGAGTGAGTGAGTGAGTTTGGTTTAACGCCGCTTTAAACAGTATTCCAGTTATATCAAGGAATGTCAGCTTAATGTGGGAGGAAAGCCCCAAGTGATGCAGGTCTTAGACGTTTACCACTTCGGTGAAACCCACGAGCACAGGTATGATGCTGACAAACCTAGAAACATAATTGGGGCGAACCGGGATTCAAACCCACAATCATAGGTTTCTGGCGTGCCCAAGGGACGCAACTCTGCACAGCGAATCGCGGCGCCTGAGACGCCTTTAGGTTTAATGATGTAAGTAATAACGAAACTCAAATATTTTCTTAAATTATTATAAACACTAGACAGTAATAATATTGCAATATGTTTTGCTTAAAAAGCGTATCCAGTAATACTGCGTAGTCATAGTGCATACGACATATACTCTCACACTCGTGATGGCGCTATATCGCTCCTGTATTGCATTAAACCTGTTTACCAGTAATACTGTGTAGTCATAGTGTATACGACATATACTCACACACTCATGATGGCTCTATATCGCTCCTTTATTGCATTAAACCTGTTTACCAGTAATACTGTGTAGTCATAGTGTATACATAGTGTATACATAGTGTATATGTAGTGTATACGACATATACTCACACACTCGTGATGGCTCTATATCGCGCCTGTATTGCATTAAACCTGTTTACCAGTAATACTGTGTAGTCATAGTGTATACATAGTGTATACGACATATACTCACACACTCGTGATGGCTCTATATCGCTCCTGTCCGGCAGTGTCCCAGATTTGGGCACGGATGGTCTTCCCTTTGATGGTCACATTCCTAAATCACAAACAACTCAATCAAACACTGACCATATCATCACCAGAGTAGTTTATCCACAATCTGGCTATCCATTTGAGGAGACATATCTGTTTTATGTTATCGTTTTTATTGACACATATGCTCATAACATCAGTGTTTCTGTTTACAAGTAATTGCCAGTAGTCTACCAGTAAAACATACCATGTACTGGTTAATTAAACCCTATCAGTCCAATATATTGCATGTACCAGTACTTTTAAGTCCTGTCGGTCCAGTGAACCAGTAAATTTATAACTGGAGGGAAATAATTCCAAATACTAAACTTCTGAATGTGGTCAACAATCTCAAAGTAGGTAAATTAATCCAAAACCCACAGACTAACCAGACGAGGACTTAACCATGTTAGCCATTGTGAGTACTGATACAGAAGATAATTAACAATCCTAATTGCAAGTAAATTAATTATCGAGTTGTATTCCTGCGACATGGAGACGACAACTAAAAGATATCACCTCGTTAACAAGCAGTGGTAGAAACTAACACTTTTAGTCTACTAGTCCTTATCATGATAACATGTAGCAAAACCCTTAAAAAGGGCAAATTTCTACTGGTCCTTATGATACCTTAACTATTGGGCAGTTTGGCAATGACTATTGGACTAGTGCCAATTTCTAACGCTGTAACAAGTTGTCTGTTGTTTAATCAGACTTCGACACGTCCGCTGGTTCGCTGGTCCTATATAAAGGACCAGTATAACTAGATAAATGCTTGGCCATTGGTCTAGTGTTATTTTGTGGATAAACATTGTAATCAAAGTTTGTACGACTTTAGAAATCAGCGACAGATCAACGTTAAACTTAAAGCAAAACCAGCACCCTACACAAGCCTGTATGGTGCACTGGTTACCGTCGTGACTGGTTTCTCATTCTAAGTGTCTAGCAGAGATCCAACAGGACCAGTAGATTATTCTTGTGCTGGTCCTTTAGACCAATGACCAATTTTGGTAAAACACTGTTAATCATGTTAACTGAATGAGTAAATAAAATTCTATGCCAATATATTATATGTAACTACTAATAAAAGGACTAGCCCGAAATTGTATTTATTGTTCAAAACGCACTGTAGCTATATATACAACTGTAATGATTAGTGTGCATACACAGCAAATGTGCAGGTCGATCACACACTACCATACTCCCCTGCTCAATGAAAATGGATTCTTCCACCGCATGACACAGACTATACACATAGCATGAACTCCATGTGCACCCATCACAGAAGTACTAGAATCTGTACTTAATTAAGAAAGTGTTATCACAAAATTTAACATTTGGCCACTTTCTAAATGGCATTGTGTGTTCATAGCTCTTGGCCAAGGGACCGTTGCCAATTAACACTTGCCAGAGGGGTACACAAAGTACATGATCTAGACTACCAGTTGCCAGACTTTCATTTTGGTGGAAGACTCGGCGACAGAGTGGGTTACATCGCTGACTTTGTGTGCTGGCGATAAAATGTCTCACTCTGGCAGTGTGGGTTCGAATTCCACATGGGACTCAATCCAAAAAAGTACAAGAATGTGTAGTTTATTGAGAAAGTGTAATCCCAAATTTAAGATTTGTTACATTTGACCACTTTCTAATGGCATTGTGTGTTCAGGAACAAGCAGTGTTATGTATGCACCACGTCTGGTGTCACTGTACTATACATTTTGACAACACATGGATAAGCAGTGTTAAGCCTTCAATGAAAAGATTAGTCTAAAGGTTGGCAGGAACAAGGCACGGACACACATGGTGGGCAGCTGTTGTGACTGCCTGATCCCCTTGTGTAACCAGACATGACACACTGTCCTCAGTTGAGAGTCCAGCGGTAAATCACCTTGTGTAACCAGACATGACACACTGTCCTCAGTTGAGAGTCCAGCGGTAAATCACCTTGTGTAACCAGACACGACACGCTGTACTCAGTTGAGAGTCCAGCGGTAAATCACCTTGTGTAACCAGACACTACACGCTGTACTCAGTTGAGAGTCCAGCGGTAAATCACCTTGTGTAACCAGACACTACACACTGTACTGAGTTGAGAGTCCAGCGGTAAATCACCTTGTGTAACCAGACACGACACACTGTACTGAGTTGAGAGTCCAGCGGTAAATCACCTTGTGTAACCAGACACGACACGCTGTACTGAGTTGAGAGTCCAGCGGTAAATCACCTTGTGTAACCAGACACGACACGCTGTACTCAGTTGAGAGTCCAGCGGTAAATCACCTTGTGTAACCAGACACGACACGCTGTACTCAGTTGAGAGTCCAGCGGTAAATCACCTTGTGTAACCAGACACGACACGCTGTACTCAGTTGAGAGTCCAGCGGTAAATCCCCTTGTGTAACCAGACACGACACGCTGTACTCAGTTGAGAGTCCAGCGGTAAATCACCTTGTGTAACCAGACACGACACGCTGTACTCAGTTGAGAGTCCAGCGGTAAATCACCTTGTGTAACCAGACACGACACGCTGTACTCAGTTGAGAGTCCAGCGGTAAATCCCCTTGTGTAACCAGACACGACACGCTGTACTCAGTTGAGAGTCCAGCGGTAAATCACCTTGTGTAACCAGACACGACACGCTGTACTCAGTTGAGAGTCCAGCGGTAAATCCCCTTGTGTAACCAGACACGACACGCTGTACTCAGTTGAGAGTCCAGCAGTAAATCCCCTTGTGTAACCAGACACGACACGCTGTACACAGTTGAGAGTCCAGCGGTAAATCACCTTGTGTAACCAGACACGACACACTGTACACAGTTGAGAGTCCAGCGGTAAATCACCTTGTGTAACCAGACACAACACGCTGTACTTAGTTGAGAGTCCAGCAGTAAATCCCCTTGTGTAACCAGACACGACACGCTGTACACAGTTGAGAGTCCAGCGGTAAATCACCTTGTGTAACCAGACACGACACGCTGTACACAGTTGAGAGTCCAGCGGTAAATCACCTTGTGTAACCAGACACGACACACTGTACACAGTTGAGAGTCCAGCGGTTAATCACCTTGTGTAACCAGACACGACACGCTGTACTTAGTTGAGAGTCCAGCGGTAAATCCCCTTGTGTAACCAGACACGACACGCTGTACACAGTTGAGAGTCCAGCGGTAAATCACCTTGTGTAACCAGACACGACACACTGTACACAGTTGAGAGTCCAGCGGTAAATCACCTTGTGTAACCAGACACGACACACTGTACACAGCTGAGAGTCCAGCGGTTAATCACCTTGTGTAACCAGACACGACACGCTGTACTTAGTTGAGAGTCCAGCGGTAAATCCCCTTGTGTAACCAGACACGACACGCTGTACACAGTTGAGAGTCCAGCGGTAAATCACCTTGTGTAACCAGACACGACACACTGTACACAGCTGAGAGTCCAGCGGTAAATCACCTTGTGTAACCAGACACGACACGCTGTACACAGTTGAGAGTCCAGCGGTAAATCCCCTTGTGTAACCAGACACGACACGCTGTACTCAGTTGAGAGTCCAGCGGTAAATCACCTTGTGTAACCAGACACGACACGCTGTACTCAGTTGAGAGTCCAGCGGTAAATCACCTTGTGTAACCAGACACGACACGCTGTACACAGTTGAGAGTCCAGCGGTAAATCCCCTTGTGTAACCAGACACGACACGCTGTACTCAGTTGAGAGTCCAGCAGTAAATCACCTTGTGTAACCAGACACGACACGCTGTACTCAGTTGAGAGTCCAGCAGTAAATCACCTTGTGTAACCAGACACGACACGCTGTACTCAGTTGAGAGTCCAGCGGTAAATCACCTTGTGTAACCAGACACGACACGCTGTACTCAGTTGAGAGTCCAGCAGTAACTCACCTTGTGTAACCAGACACGACACGCTGTACTCAGTTGAGAGTCCAGCGGTAAATCACCTTGTGTAACCAGACACGACACGCTGTACACAGTTGAGAGTCCAGCAGTAAATCCCCTTGTGTAACCAGACACGACACGCTGTACTCAGTTGAGAGTCCAGCAGTAACTCACCTTGTGTAACCAGACACGACACGCTGTACTCAGTTGAGAGTCCAGCGGTAAATCACCTTGTGTAACCAGACACGACACGCTGTACACAGTTGAGAGTCCAGCAGTAAATCCCCTTGTGTAACCAGACACGACACGCTGTACTCAGTTGAGAGTCCAGCGGTAAATCACCTTGTGTAACCAGACACGACACGCTGTACACAGTTGAGAGTCCAGCAGTAAATCCCCTTGTGTAACCAGACACGACACGCTGTACTCAGTTGAGAGTCCAGCGGTAAATCACCTTGTGTCACCAGACACGACACGCTGTACTCAGTTGAGAGTCCAGCGGTAAATCACCTTGTGTAACCAGACACGACACGCTGTACTCAGTTGAGAGTCCAGCGGTAAATCACCTTGTGTCACCAGACACGACACGCTGTACTCAGTTGAGAGTCCAGCGGTAAATCACCTTGTGTAACCAGACACGACACGCTGTACTCAGTTGAGAGTCCAGCGGTAAATCACCTTGTGTAACCAGACACGACACACTGTACTCAGTTGAGAGTCCAGCGGTAAATCACCTTGTGTAACCAGACACGACACGCTGTACTTAGTTGAGAGTCCAGCGGTAAATCACCTTGTGTAACCAGACACAACACGCTGTACACAGTTGAGAGTCCAGCAGTAAATCACCTTGTGTAACCAGACACAACACGCTGTACACAGTTGAGAGTCCAGCGGTAAATCACCTTGTGTAACCAGACACAACACGCTGTACACAGTTGAGAGTCCAGCAGTAAATCACCTTGTGTAACCAGACACAACACGCTGTACACAGTTGAGAGTCCAGCGGTAAATCACCTTGTGTAACCAGACACGACACGCTGTACTCAGTTGAGAGTCCAGCGGTAAATCACCTTGTGTAACCAGACACGACACGCTGTACTCAGTTGAGAGTCCAGCGGTAAATCACC